GGGGTGTCCTAAAAGTTGGGGAAGTTATTCTGCCCCCCAAATTTTTTTTCTTGGGGGGGGGGGGGGGCGGGTAGGAAGCTAGATCTGCTAGGTTTTTAAAGGTTTTATCCTCAATATAGAGAACCAAAAAACAGCTACAGCCCAGCAGCCCAAAGATTAGCAACAACTGCCTTCCTAAGGAGTTATTAGTGGTCCATATCTTATGAGTGACCGAGTACCTCTTGCAGGCTGCTCAATATCTTTTATTTGCTTCAGTGGACCATGAGAAGAATTCTGCAAGAACTCTGGCCTGAAGTTGAGATATTTTTTGAGACAGACTCTTGAAGCCAAAAAGTGAAAGTTCAGTTAACATATATAATTGTTTTTAGAAAAAGCTGCTCAATAACAGAATTAAAAGTGTATCTGCAAAAATGAAGCATGATTTTAAAATATCTACAGCGTTAAAACTTAGAACACAGTTCTTCCTTAATAAGCTATTCATTTTTACTAGCATGAAAACAGAAATTACCACAACGATTCCTCCAACGTACTCAAAGGCACAGTGTGCTATGCAGCCATACTGAATGGTATATCCAAGAAGTCTGAAGGTTTTTCCCAGGACATCTTGAAACATAGCACAGGGTTTGCTTGCAGTGGACCCTAATACATGTAAATAAAAGTTGCATAATAAGTTTTAAGCGAAAAATAAACATCCAACAAACTCTATTTAGAAACTGTATTTAATATTTTAGAAGTCAGATAACATGCAATATTTTTGAATTAATGAGAAGGAAAGGCACAGGTCATTAGAAATACCTAAAAAGATTAATTCATTCAGAGAGGAAGAAAAAAACCCCACCCGTGCTTTAGAACTATATGATATTTAACTTGTGATGCCATTAAAATGTGGATGATACTCAGTATTGTTTTTATTTTTACCAGACCAAAATAATGCAGTTGACTGAAAATCCTAGTGTATAACAAAGTGGGTTGGGTAAGGGTGGTAAATGGATCACTGCAATGCAGTTTGTGATCACATGCAAAAAACAATTGCTAAACTAAAGCAGAACACAGCAGCCTATGAGAAGCATATTATACCTAGCCAAAAGGCTGTATGGTACAATTCAAAGTGCTGATTCGGATCTCAGAAGCCTTGCAACTGGAGTCTTGCATAAGCTTCAGACCATCTCTCTCATACCTACGCCAGCTGGAGAAATACCATCTTAGGGAGCAGACAGCCTGTGGGCAGAGATTTATCATTTGTCAATGGAACCATGGTACCAATTCTATCCCATATTAAGTACGATATCAGGGTCAATTTACCCCAAATAAAACAAGCACCAAATGACCATGGGATAAAGACACAACAAGCATGTATTAAATTCTCCCTTCTTTCCTTCTAAATTGGTATAATTTGTTCATCTGTCTAAACACTTACTTGTGTTATTTCTGGGACATAATGAACCAACTGTCACAGACTGATAGATGGGAGAAGCTCACATAAGGGTTATTTTCATGTATTTCTGGGAAGGAGTCTCCCTTGTTCTACTGAGGTCTGAGCTGTTTTCAAAGTGAAATCTGGAAGGAAGAAGATATCTTAACACAGGCATCAGTTGCTTTCCAATAAGAACTAGGGAAGGATACCTACAAGCCAGGAAGAGAAGTCCTACATCTGGGTTGGCTACCACTTCCCTACTAACAGAAAAATAAAGTTGGGTATTTATATTGGTAGTCTCCATGCCACAGTAAATTGTACTGAATTTAGAAGAGAAGACAAAGTATGCATAAGGAAGGAGATACATTTATTAAAATTATTAAAAGCACTGCAATATTATGAAGTATCTGCGTAAGTGGCATTTTACGTAGCAGTTCAGAACTAGGGTTTCAGTTCAACAAAGCATGTCATGTAACAGCTAACTTTTACTATACAGTGCTTACTCCTCAGATAAAACAAAATTTGGGCTACCACAGAATTTTGTGAATATGCAACTTTTAACAGTTACACCTTATGAGCTGCTGAGTGCCTCCTGACATCAATCTGAAATTACAAAAATGTTGGGGTCTTTAGATAAATGAAGCCTTAAAAAAAGTCTCTGCTTTAAACTGGGTGCATATTTTTGATAGGATAACATACTTTCATAAGTTTAGAATATATATCTAAACTTATGAAAGAATCTAGACTTATGGAAGTATGTTATCCTATCAAAAATGTACACCCAGTTTGAAGCAAAGATTATATAAACAAACTCAAATGACATGATTACACCTTAGCAGTAACTTCTTCAAGATTTGGTACCTATGTTAACATGAAAAACTTCGGAACAAGAAGTCATTCACCAGTAGCAGTGATTTAAAGATTTTGCTCCAATTTACTACTAAAGTTATACAGACAGAAAACTAAGGTAATCCAGTGGACAACTAGCTCTTTAGCAGCACTATTCACATTGAAAACAGTTTACCAAATCAGACCCAGTATATTAGACATCACAGAAATCTCACTGGAAAAAGAAAAAGAGACAAGATTTATCTAAATAAAATGCAACATAAGGAAGAGAACAAAAATTCAGGGTAGGAAATAAATTGGGAATTTTGCAGTTTTAGAATGTGGCAATTCTCTTTATTACATTTTGCAATAATCCCCAAATGCTAACTTTCAAAGAACTAAGTTTTAAGTAGTAAAGACTTCAACCAATAAAAGCCTACAAAAATCAGGACCTCAGGTTCTCTTCATAAGCCATGTGCCCCAGCCCCTGAACCATTTTCATTACTATATCACTCGCTTCCAACCATAAAAGTGAAAGGACTTGAGATCTACAGGAAACCAAGCTAATGTTGGGCCTCAAACAAGTGATGTCTCTTGGCATGAGGGACCCACCAGAGGTCTAGCAGCTTAGA